GTTTTTACTAGTTCTCATCGAATACATGGCCTAAATGGCACTCAAGGTAGAGCTTTATTAAATAGGAATGTTGCTAGGTAGAAGGTCTCAGATACTTTATGGAGTGGTATAGATAGCCGAAATTTTACTGATGCATTAAAATATGAGTTCCACGAGGTCTGATGTGAGCTTGAGTCCCAGTAGACGTTTCAGATATGGAGCCTCCTTGAGAGTACAACCATTCATCATGACTGGAGAAAACTCAAGGTTTCCTTGTGATAAAGAGAGGTGACTAGATTGGTGAGGGGGTACAAGCCCCCTTCTTGATCTGTCCAAATAAGGACAAACGAGAGATCAGCTACCAGAATAAATTAAATAATGTATTTTCTATTCACAAGGTCGTTATTTCGCTCTGCAATAATACAATCCTCGGAGAGAGGAGACTGTGACATAAAGACAGGGTAGAAGCTGCGAGCAACTTTTTTTTCTTTTGTTCGTAAGGTCTTCTTAATTATATGAAGCTGTTACTTCTGTACATTTACTTCGATGATAGTGTTCTTGGTGTTATAATAATTTCAGCAGAGTCGCTGTAATTGATCTTTTCATCCAACATAATTTTCAAAGGCGTTATACGTTCAAAATTGGCAAGTGTTCGGAATAAATAAACATTCCGGTCACGGGATTTGAGTGGCATCTTGAAACCATCTGTAAAACAAGTGAATATCGCATGCCACTTCACACTGATGGAGTTCGATGAAAAGAGAGTAATCACACTGTTTCCTCTAAAGAAGAAAATAAAGAATAATTCTCTATGGCTTTGCCTTTGGGCTGATTAAATAAAGACGATTTTTTTTCACTTTGATAATCGAATTTAGGTGAACTGAGTTGAAGATTCGGAGATAATAGAAGGAAGAGAGTCCAAGAAAACATGGAAAAGCAGTTTGACATTTTATGAAGGTTTCGAATTAACTTGAATCTCTAAATCACTTTTACGAATTGAATTTTAGCCTTAGAGTCGGGATCAAAGCGTAGTATAAGTTCTCTCCTCATTTAAAAATAAAGGAAACGACCAGTCGTAGTGATGATTTTTGCACTTGTCCCAATGTATATCCATATATATGGACACCCCACGTAAAAAGACCTTATGTCGCTTCTTGTCTTAGTAGGAGGGACAGGTAAGTAACATCGCTTTTCAACTGGGATCAAAGTGAATATCGGTTCTCTCCTCATAAGTAATGAGAGAATGCACAAATGCCGGAGACTACAATCCTATAGCAGGACCTTCCTCATTGCGCTAAAAGTGAAGTTAGTTTAATATACACGGCAGCGTGACTGTGGTCGAGGTGAATAAAGCAATCTGTGCCTTTGGCCATTTTGTACGCAAATGGACGTCATCAAATAAAAGGATCACATGATATCTTGGTGGAGAGGCCAGGTCAATAAAATCTCCGCTCTGCCTTTGGATTCAAATTATATGATCTGTTCTTTTCATTTTAGATGGGAAAAGGATATCACATCTTAATATCCGTTCTACTCATTTTAGATGGGAAAAAGGAATCAGATCGTAATAACTGTTTTTCACATATTAGATGGAAAATTGGAATCAAAACAAAATATCCGTTCTTCTTATTTTAGTTGGGGAAGAGGAATCAAATCCTAATATCTCTTCTTCTGATTTTAGTTGGGAAAAGGGGATCAAATCCTAATGTCTGTCCTTCTCATTTTAGATGGGAAAAGGGGATCAAATCCTAATATCTGTCCTTCTCATTTTAGTTGGGGAAAGGGAATCAAATCCTAATATCTGTTCTTATTTTAGATGAGAAAAGGGGATCAAATCCTAATGTCTGTTCTTCTAATTTTAGATAGGAAAAGGGAATCAAATCCTAATGTCTGTTGTTCTTATTTTAGATAGGAAAAGGACCTTGTCCCATGGAATCCAACTCTGCAACAATACCGTGTTCATTGCACTAAAAGTTGTAGGACCGGTGTAGTATCGACCCCAGTGTGACAATAATTGCGGGGATTGGGTAATCTTTGTCACTGCTCTACAAGTTCGCGTATGGACGCCCTACAAAATTGGTATCACATCTTACCTTTGTGTGGAGTTTAGGTAAATAAAATCATTCTTACGAATGTCAAAGATCGAAAGCCCGAATAATCCTAAAAATTGAATGAGGCTGTTGTAAATATAAAAAAGAAAAAGTCTAAGGATCATAAATTTCAACATCAACTTAAAAGAGTATCAAATTACCTACCCGTGAAGAGGTTATGGACGGTTTTGTATTGACTTGAAATTTTTATCAAAAGTACGCGTAATAATGCGACTAAAATATCACTTGTGATTTTACATAACATTAACAATGATATCTGACGTTGCAGGAACCAAGTCCCTTTCCTATTCACTCCTGTATAACACAGTCGGTTGAGATTTGTATATACTATTAAATGGCATTAACAAAAGTGTCGCAGTTTAAAATGATCGATATTTTCCTATTTTAAATGCCAGGTTATAATATTATAATTTAATAACGTTAATTATTAATATAATTTAATAACGTTATTTCCTTTGTCAAGCTGCTTCATCCCTTTAACGGGAACTGTGATCTAAATGCTAATGTCGTTACCTTTTCAGGGCCGAGAATGACTTAATTTGAAAAATTAAACTATGTAATCATTAAATCCAGCAACAGATCAATTGCTTATTTCTAAAGTAATTTTTTACAAAAAAAATATTTTCAAAACTTTTTCAAGCTGAATATGCAAAGTACTTATTTTTCATTAAACAAAAACTAATAAGTTGGACATATAATATATAAGACACATATATTAGATATAAATTATAAAACCTCATTTATTTGCTACCACGCATTTACGTGGATATTTGTGTACACATATACTAACAGAAAATATAATTATGTAAATATTCTTATAAGCATACATTTAAATTTCAAATTTCAAGAGAACACACACATTATTGAGCCTGAGAGTTAGAAAAAGATCTCAATTTGTAATTTTAAAATCTTCATAACGCTTAAGTCTATTTTCAATAATTTTATGTTAGGTAATATTTTGCTATACAATGAAAAGAGAAATTTGAGAGAGTAAGTGAAGGGTAACAAAAACATATTTTACTGCGGGCAATGCCGACTTATCTACTTAATGATATGCAAAGCATTTAACGAGTAAATGCCTCCTTGTCGATATATTAATTGGGTGGTAAGTAAGTGAAAGGTGCTACAGAGAGCAAATATTTTCCCCCAAAACTAATGAAGCCCGATTTAGTTATTGACTGATTCTACTATCCTTTAATTAAATTACTTTGGCGATTTGAAGTGGGCTTCATAATGTCGACATTGGTTACAGAAAAGGTTGTAGCAAACTGATTCAGTAGTGGCGATATTATTTCTATATCGACATTATTTTTTTCTCACGTAACAACTGTGGTTTTTCATATAATAAATTACAAACCTTGACATATTTAAAAAAAAAAAGTATATTAGAATAATCCAGAAGCTATATGGGCATCAAACGGCTTGCATAGAGATAGAAAATGAATTCAGTAAATATAAAAAACCTAAAAGAGGTGTAAGACAGTGTTGTGCCTTCTCACCGGACTTATTCAATCTATACAGTGAGGTGATTCTGTGAGAACTAGAAGTCCTATCAGGTTTCATTATTGGCAGTCACAATTTTAAGATGCAGATGACACAGTTTTGGTAGCAGACAAACAGAAGAAACTAAAAAAAAACCTCCACAGAATGTGTAGCAAAGGAAGCCCAGATGAAAGGACAAAACCTTAATTGCAAGAAGACAGAAGGCATAGTTGTTAGCCAAAGAAAAAGCGCAACATGGAAATTACAAATTGGAGACGTCAAAATCAAATAAGGACAATTTAAATATCTGGAGAGTTTTTTAACAAAATATTTCACCATTCGCTTACTTATCATCCTCCAACAACGAAATGCGAAAACGTATTGGAATAGCGAAAAATGACTTCTAAAAGCTAACCAAATAAATATGAATCAGAAAACAAAATTCGTTAGAAAGAAAAAAAACAAGAGTTCTGAATTGTCATGCAATGTCAGTCATCCTATATGACAATGAATGCTGAACAATCTCCTCACAGATAAAGAGGAGTCTTGAAGTTACAAAAAATTTGTTCTACAGAAGTATGCTGAGAATACAATGAACTGAACATATAAGCCACGACGAAGTTTTAGAAAATATGGAAACAAAAAAAGAGGCTTATCTTTAACATCAGGAACATACTGTTGAACTTCCTTCGGCACATAATGAGGAGAGGGTGTTTGGAAAATGTAACACACACAGGAGAGATTGAAGGCAGACGGCATAGAGTTAAATAACACATACCCTATCTAACAAGATTGAATATATGGATGGCAGAACAAGGTTTGAGTTAACAGACAAAATTTCTTAAGAGCTACAAAAGACAAGAAATTTTGGAGAGCCATGATTGCCAACGCTGTCCTGAAAAATTAGAGTTGACCATTTGCTGAGGACGGGTGTAAATGATTACATTAAATGCAATCATTTGATGCAGTAAATATTAATATTCTCTTGGTGCTTACGGCCATATGATGTCAAAACAGCTGTTGTCGCCCGATCAGCGAAGTTAAGCAACATCGATCGAGGCAGTCTCTAGATGAGTGACCGCTTAGAAATACCAGGTTTTGTAAGCTTGATGTGAGGCTGGTGTAATGGATAACGGCTTGTTTTATTAATATATAAATATTTTCGGACTTGTACTTTATTTAACCATTTTGCAGAATTATTTATATATATATATATATATATATATATATATATATATATATATATATATATATATATATATATATAGACACTCACTGCTTGGTGTTTGTTCTCTGTCTGTTTCAGTTGTTGAAAGGTTTATATTTTCTAATGTTTGTCTATGGTGAAGTTGGCACTCTATGTAAATTACTGCCATAGAAATAAAGAAAAAGAAAGCAAACAAGAAAGAAAGAACTGAATAGAAATAGTTACATATATGAATAGAGTGAACATAATTTTGAACAGAAGATAGATAGATAGATAGATAGATAGATAGATAGATAGATAGATAGATAGATAGATATGAACAGAATCGGATTTAGACTAGGTCAGAAACGAATAGATCAATTGATAAAAACTGAGAAAATTGTAAATTCATAAGAAAGAAAGAAAGAAAGAAAGAAAGAAAAAAAGAAAAAAGAAAGAAAGAAAGAAAGAAAGAAAGAAAGAAAGGTGAGCGCAGAGCTGAAATTCAGGTAATCAATGGAAGAAAAAGTTAAGAAAATTTGCACTAAAATAGAAAATAACTGAAAGTAAAACAACAAATAAAAGGAAGAAAGAATGAAAGGAAAAAGACAGTGAAAGAAAAAAAAATAGAAGAAAAGAAGAAACAGATAGCGTTGGTTAAAGAAGGAAGGAAAGAAAAGATGAAAAAATAAAAGGAAAAATGGAAAAGGAAATTTCAGGAGAAAATGAAAGTATTACTTTTTTTTTCAACACAAGAATAAGATCTCTTCTGGTGTGAAACGCATGAATTTACCCACTGTGGTGATGGAAAAAAACAGTTTCGACGTTGAAGCATTGTGGGTCTTAATGCATGAGGTCAACAACATGCGCCTGATGTACAACCTATCGATTTTAGCATCCAACATTTCGGTAACCCTCTCCAATCGATTGATTTGCTGCATTTTGTGCTCTTGAAACTTCGATTTTGAATCGATTGTATCCGTAAATGTTCTGCGTTGCCTCATTATGAAGAAACAGTCAAACGAATTTTACACTAAATTACTCGGATCTCCAAGTTGCTTACATAACTTTCAAACTTTCTCCCAGTGTAATCTATACATATGTACATATGTACGTATGGGAAATGTACGCGCATATATATATATATATATATATATATATATATATATATATATATATACACGACTAAATTCAGATGAGAGTTTGAATGAATGTTAAATATACGAGATAATTTTGGAAATTTTTACTTACGCTACCGTAAGATTCGTGATCAGAATCTGATCTGTAGAACAGAGTTTTAATAATAGAAAAATTAAATATAATTTGCTCAGCTGGAGTTGCATTGAAAGCGCCAAAAACAAATCCATATAATTAATATCCGACCGGTTATTTGTATATAACTTTTCTGAATCAATTAGTACGGAAAAATATGGGATATTTAAGACATAATATAATAAAAAAAAAATTAATTAAAAATAGTTAAGATATATTTATTTTATAATGATTCAGTTAAGGTAAAGAAAAGGTGTCCGTATACTTAACGTGAATCTCATTTCGTCTCTTCAACATAAACTTTGTTCTTGTAATAAAAATCCTTTTCTGATGATGCTATTTAATTGGCGAAACAAATAAAAAAAGTATTTTTCTTCAAAATTCGCTACTTGGTAGACGGAACAGTTGGACCGTCGATTACTGTACTAACACGAAGTCACAAGTCACCGTGGCTGATGGCTTGAATGTGCTAGCCTTGTTCAAATGGATATGAGTTTGTGACCACCATGACAGTTTGTGCAGCCATCACAGAGGGTAAAATCATTAGTACCCCCAAAAATTATTATTATTTTATAACAACTACTACCACTTTCGCTATTAATATTGTTGTTACCACTTTATGAACCTGCCGGAAAAATGGTAGAACACTAAAGCGCAAGAACACGAAAATCACTAAAACATAACCACCAACATCTATCATTAACACTAACTGCACTATTACCAACACTACCACCATACCCACACACGCACACACCTCAACCACTATAATAACACAGACCTATAAAACCATCAGCACCGGTACCTACACTACCAACACTTTTGTGGTCACGGGCATCACTGTGACAGTGGATGCAGCCATTTTATAACAATTAGCACCACTTTCGCTTTTAATATTGTTGTTACCACTTTATAAACCTACCGGAAATAACTACTACTACTACTACCATTTTCAGTATCATTGCTGTAATCACCTCATTACCATCTCCACTACCATTAGTACTGTTTTTAAACTTTGTTTTTATTATTGCTATTATTATGATTATCATCATCAATATTATTATCATCATCATTATCATGGTTACCACAACGATTATCATAAATAAGAATGTCATTACTACCTCCCCACTTTTTACACTTGTTTCCATCATAATTAAGGTTAAATTTACCGTTAAAGCATTAATAATTATTATTAATATATTAATAAAAATTAACACCACAGTTATTATCAGAATCAGCATAATCATAATCGTCAATAATATACATGCAATCAACGGTAAAAATACAAACATCATCATCACCATGCCCACAAACAGAACTCAAAGTCCCAGACTAATAGGAGTGTATGTGCGCGTCTACATGTCTGTATGTGTGTGTGAGGAAGTGTAAGTTTTGTCTGGCGACTCAGGCGATAGATCTGAGAAGCATCAAGAACATCTCCACCCGACATTTGTTGAAAGGAACATCGCCACACATAAAAAAGCCAAGGTCCCGACACCGAAATAGAATTAAAATTGCGTATGTATGTTTGCCCGAGCGCATGAATGTGTAACTGCGCTTAGCCTCGGATTGTTTATATGGTGCGTTTGTGTGAACTAAAATGCGTACGCCTGTATGTGTGTGTTTATGTGAGTGAGAGTGTCATCACGAACAGGCACGAAGGGAAATTCCACCTCCCACCACCAAACATAGTCAAAAAAGCATCAATAGAACCAATTTTAAAAAATAAGCTAGTTCGTCTGATGATCGCAAAAGCGTGAAACTCAGGTTCACAAACTAATATCCATATAGTGAATATGTTAGCTCTGTCACTGATATTGACCGCTTGTCGCTAAGTACTGCACGTACAAAATAATATATATATATATATATATATATATATATATATATATATATATATATATTTATATATATATTGTGTATCTAGGCAGCAATCCTCTTTTTATGTATGTTTCGTTACAGACGACTGACAAGCTACTGCGATAAAGCTTTTTATTTATTTTTTTCTTGTTTTCGTACAAGTGTTTTCTTTTCTGGACACAAAGTTTGTAAAAAGTCTCCAAAAATTCTGCATATCCGAACGCTTTAGGATATACTATTAGCTATGATCAAGTAAGATTTTATTTTTATTTTTTACTGAATGTATAGCTTGTATATCTATAAAGAGAGAGTTATAGATATGTTTCATTTTCCAAACACTGTCAGCACATTGTGGCCATGTTCATAGTTAATGTTACTGAGTGTTGGCTTTTTTCGTTTTTATTATTAGGGCTTACATTATTTTTAATCATGTGGATGAGGTTATCATGCTTGTAATTTCTACCAGTGTGTTTTCGAATTACATTACATTGCATTACGTGCTAATACCCTTGGGAAAGGTATGAATCCTGTTCTAAATGCTATTGGTAAATAGCAGGGCAGAGGGTCTACCGCAGAAATGGCAACCAACTGCGGAAAAAATCTTTTATATGTGTTTCGTTAAAGACGACTGACAAGGTTTAAGCTTTTTATTTAAGTTTTTCTTGTTTTCGTACAAGTATTTTCTTTTCTGAACACAAAGTTTGTAAAAGCTGTCAAAAAGTTCTGCATATCCAAGTGCTTCCATTAGCCATCACCTTGCTATTCTAATTAAAAGAGAAAATAATTCACTAAGAAGAAAATTGGTGCTTTCATCGCTAGTTCAGCCATGGTAAATTTGTGTCCAGGCTCTTACAATATACTAGCATTTTTTTCGTTTTCTCTATCTATCTATCTATCTATCTATCTATCTATCTCATTTCCATTTTATTTTATCTAAAAAATTTTATTTTAAGAAAATGAATATAGATGAATTTGGCTAGATTGAAAAATAGTCTGTCAAAAAATATTATTTCAAAACAAAAAATTATTTCAAATGTATTCCTTCAAAAATGTTGAAACTACGAGCTTCTCTCGTTTCGTGTGCAAGTGTAATGGTGGCAACATCAACAAAGTCCAGTCCGATAAAATCCTAACGGATGAAAAGCGTCACAAGAACTTTTTTCCCAATTTGTCATTTACTCAATATTTTTCTTGATATATAAAATTATATATCGTTATGTTATATCATAGATAGATATGAACAGATTGGGATAGATAGATAGATAGATAGATAGATAGATAGATAGATAGATAGATAGATAGATAGATAGAACAAAATGAAAAAGAAAAAGAGATAGATAGATAGATAGATAGATAGATAGATAGATAGATAGATAGATAGAACAAAATGAAAAATAAATAGATAGATAGATAGATAGATAGATAGATAGATAGATAGATAGATAGATAGAACAAAATGAAAAAGAGATAGATAGATAGATAGATAGATAGATAGATAGATAGATAGATAGATAGATAGATAGATAGATAAAAGAAAATGCAAATGAGATAGATAGATAGATAGATAGATAGATAGATAGATAGATAGATAGATAGATAGATAGATAGATAAAACGAAATGAAAAAGAAATGGAGAAATTTTGAAAAATACTGATGAAAACAAGAGAAACATATGCTAGAACAAGGACAGGTAAAACGAAAATATCAAACAATTGAGAAATAATAAGAAATAATAAAAAAAGAGACTTAAAGGAAGGAAGTAAATGTCGAAGGAAGAAATAATATACACAAGAATCAAACGAAGCTATTTGATTCGTGTTCTGTATCATGCAACAATGTTTGTAAAACACAGTATTCACTTCTTAACTTCCTATAAGATTTGATACAATCCTGATGCGCAACGTCTCTGGACGTGGCAGTCATTCAATGGCAAATAAAAACGGGGAAAAGAACGAGAGATTCAGTATCTCACAGTAACGCCCAAAATAGCGTTAATGGCAATAATGGAAGACACGGGTGGCGCGAAATCGTCGCAAGAAAACCAGGGATTTTTCTTTAAGCTGAGCGATATTGGAGAAGAAAGATTTGTGATGTACTCGTCAAATAAAGCTTATCTTATTGGGTACACATCTTATTGAATCTATTCGTTTTATTTTGTTAATTATACTGAAATCATTATAATATACAAGTGTCCATGATGGAACAAACGGCTTGGAAAACATGTTGGAATATTTGCTTTGTTTATAAGGAGAAATGGAAGGGGGGTCGAATAGGTAAACAGTAATATAAAAGGAAGAGAAACGAAAAAAGAAAGGGTGGGAAGTAAAAGCGAAAGAAGAGAAATGGAGTTGAATATGAAAAGAAAGAAAGAAAGAAAGAAAGAAGAAAGAAAGAAAGAAAGAAAGAATGAAAGAAAGAAAGAAAAATGTATGAAGTATCCTGGGTATAATTAAAAGAAAGAAAGAAGGAAATGCGTCAAGTATGCAGGGTATAATTGAAAGAAAGAAAGAAAGAAAGAAAGAAAGAAAGAAAAGAAAGAAAGAATGAATGAATGAAAGAAAGAAAGAAAGATAGAAAGAAGGAAATGCGTCAAGTATGCAGGGTATAATTGAAAGAAAGAAAGAAAGAAAGAAAGAAAGAAAGAAAGAAAGAAAGAAAGAAAGAAAGAAAATGCGTGAAGTATGCAGGGTATAATTGAAAGAAAGAAAGAAAGAAAGAAAGAAAGAAAATGCGTGAAGTATGCAGGGTATAATTGAAAGAAAGAAAGAAAGAAAGAAAGAAAGAAAGAAAGAAAATGCGTAAAGTATGCAGGGTATAATTGAAAGAAAGAAAGAAAGAAAGAAAGAAAGAAAGAAAGAAAGAAAATGCGTAAAGTATGCAGGGTATAATTGAAAGAAAGAAAGAAAGAAAGAAAGAAAGAAAATGCGTGAAGTATGCAGGGTATAATTGAAAGAAAGAAAGAAAGAAAGAAAGAAAGAAAATGCGTAAAGTATGCAGGGTATAATTGAAAGAAAGAAAGAAAGAATATGGAAGTAAAGAAAAAGGAAGAATGCGTAGTGAAGAGAGCAAGGGATGAGTTGAAGCAAAAGACAGAAAAAAATAAGGAGGAAGTCGAAGAAGAAGTGAAAAGAGATGCCGAGGAAAAAGAAGCGGAAGAGCGGAGACGGAGCGGGTAGAAGAAGAGGAAGTTGAAGAAGAAAAAAGAAAAAGCGGGAAAAAGAAGCAGAAAAAGTAGGAAAAGATGGAGAAAGAAGGATAAAGAAGAAAATAAGGTAGCTTCCAGAAGATTAAATGATTGTGCTTTTTACGGCTTATCAATCTTTTACACGTTAATTAAAGCCAGATTGTTAAATTTTTCGAGATATTAGTGATTTACTGATAGAAGTCCTAACTAATTAAGCTGAGGGGAGAAGAGCTTGATTAATAACTTTCCCAAGAATATTTGCACGTTAGTGAATATAAACACGACAATAGTTGGATCTCAACTTTCTGATTTCGTGCCGTTATCCATTACACCACCCGAACATTCAAACTTACAGCACTTGGAAAGGGTGGGAAGTAAAAGAGAAAGGGAATTGAATATGAAAAGAAAGAAAGAAAGAAAGAAAGAAAGAAAGAAAGAGAGTGAAAAGGATAGATAGATAGATAGATAGATAGATAGATAGATAGATAGATAGATAGATAGATAGATGCGGGAAATGCGCAGAGTATAATTGGAAGCAAAAGAAAGAAAGAAAGAAAGAAAGAAAGCACGAAAGAAAAGAAAGAAAGATAGTGAAAAGGATAGATAGATAGATAGATAGATAGATAGATAGATAGATAGATAGATAGATAGAAAAATGCGTGAAGTACGCAGAGTATAATTGGAAGCGAAAGAAAGAAAGAAAGAAAGAAAGAAAGAAAGAAAGAAAGAAAGAAAGAAAGAGAGTGAAAAGGATAGATAGATAGATAGATAGATAGATAGATAGATAGATAGATAGATAGATAGATAGATAGATGCGGGAAATGCGCAGAGTATAATTGGAAGCAAAAGAAAGAAAGAAAGAAAGAAAGAAAGAAAGAAAGAAAGCACGAAAGAAAAGAAAGAAAGATAGTGAAAAGGATAGATAGATAGATAGATAGATAGATAGATAGATAGATAGATAGATAGATGTGTGAAGTACGCAGAGTATAATTGGAAGCAAAAGAAAGAAAGAAAGAAAGAAAGAAAAGAAAGAGAGTGAAAAGGATAGATAGATAGATAGATAGATAGATAGATAGATAGATAGATAGATAGAAAAATGCGTGAAGTACGCAGAGTATAATTGGAAGCAAAAGAAAGAAAGAAAGAAAGAAAGAAAGAAAGAAAGAAAGAAAGAAAGAAAGAAAGAAAGAAAGAAAGGATCTAGATACTAACCTGTCACGATATTGCTTAAACTCGGTGACCGTACGAAAACCGGTCTTTCAACATGATATGGCCGTAAGACTCAATATAAAGAAAAAAAGAAGAACTGTATAGAAAGAAGAAGAAAGGAAGATGAAGAAGTGTATGCGAAGGAGGAGGAGAAAAAAAGGAAGGAAAGGAAAAAGAAGTAGAAAAGAAGGAGTGAGTAAGGAAAAGGAGTAGAAAAGGAACAAAAATAAGAGCGGATAAAGTGGTAGTAGTGTGGACGTAAAAGTAAGAAAATAAAAGAAACAAAATATCTGGGGGAAAGCTGAACGTTGCGATTTAAGAAAAAACTTAGGAAAGGGGTTAGCGAAAAAGAAGAACGAAAAAGAAAAATGAAAACAGGACGAAGAAATTGTTAGGAGAGATTTTTTTTAAATGATAAAAACTAAAAAAAAAACTAAAGTTTTCATTGAAACGATCATCCGGAATGATGATGATGGTGGTAATGGCGATGGCAGGTAGTGTGTGATTGCAAATAAGGGTGGAGTCATCCGGTTAGTGTTGTTTTGCTTTTTGCCCTAGAAATTCTATTCGTGAGGCTACGACTAACGCCCTTAGAGGCATATGGAAAGAAAAACTCAAACCGTGAGATGGAAGCAAAGAGGCGGGGTTTATAGTTAGGGTGTGGGCGTACTCCTTTCGGTGCTTCCTCTTGAGTAGGATCAACAAACAAATGTGAGGAAACAATTCTGGAACCCAAAGGAAGAAACGAACACTTAATCCGTGGGTACACGCTTTGAAATCGGACAAAAGCAAAACACTGGCATTAAGCTCCTTGGTTTTTCGTTGATTTTATTTAGTTTGAAATAGGGAGTCGTGTAGCCATTACATGGGGGGCTTATACTTTCATGATTAGAAAGATCGAGCCAGAGAGATGGAGAACGGGAGAGAGAGAGAGAGAGAGAGAGAGAGAGAGAAGCGAAAGAGTTACAAAGCAATTTTTAATATCAATGTAATTTTAGAGATTTACGTTCATATATGTGCATGTGTTTTATCGCGTCTGTGTGCTTGTATGACTGCGCGTGTCTACTTCTGTGTGTGTGTATGTGTGTGTGTGTGTGTGTGTGTTGGCGCATATACGTTTATCTCAGCTTCGTACACCCGCGTAGGAGAAAAAAAGAAAAGAAAAACTCTTTGAAACCTAAAGATCAACGTGTAAAAGAAATTACTGAAATAGATGATGATGATGATGATGATGATGATGATGATGATGATGATGATGATGAAAAAAGGAGCAGAATCAGAGAGGGAAGGAAGAAGAGGACAGGAAAAAGGAAGATAGAGAAGAAAAAAGACAAAAGTTGAGGGAAATAAGATGAAGAAATAAAGGAGTAAAAGGTAAAAAGCGGAAAGAAAAGAAATTTATGATGATGATGATGATGACGACGACGATGATGATCATGATGATCATAATGATGATCATGATGATGATGACGACGACGACGATGATGATCCTGATCATGATGATCATAATGATGATGATGATGATGACGACGACGATGATCATGATTATGATGATCATAATGATGATGATGATGATGATGATGATGATGATCACCATCATGATCATGATTATCATCATGATTAAGGAGTTAGCAGGAGGAAGAAAACTACAAAAAGAAGGAAAATGTTAAGGAAAATAAGGCGAAGAAATGAAGAAGTCATAAGTAAAAACCGAAAGAATAAGAATAAGAAAGAAAGAAAGAAAGAAAGAAAACGGAGAAAGAATGATAAAACGAATAGGGCGAGCAGAATGAAATTAAAGTTATTATTTTGACAAGGCAACCTATTAATGAGTCATTTTTCAAGATACCGTTTTAATTCTTTTAAAATTTTTCCGCAGAAATCGATCAAAATAGTTGGACTACAAACATGTCTTCCTCTCCCTGATTTCCAAATTGCATTCGTTCGTTTTCTCTCAATCTCTCCCCGCCTCTCTCTCCCCATCTATCTCTTTCCCTTCTCTGTCTGCCTAGGGCCTAAATAAAATGGCTATCCACAAAAGCCTTCTTTTTCGATATTTTTTGCTTGGAAAACAATTGTGAATCATCTTCGTATGCATTCAGCAAGCTTTAAAAAGAACTTTTTCACGTTAGAACATACTGCATAGATTTCTAAACGCTTTGCACAGTTCTGTGCCCATGAACAAGCCAAAACGCCTAGATAGGTGGCGCTTCATGTGGAGTAATGCTTAACGAGTTGTCCTCCTTGACCCTTATTGCTAAATTCAATCCTCACTGGGTTCTCTATACAAAATTCGATTAATAAACAGATTGACATTTCATAAAACCAAACAAATAGAATAGGGCAACTCTGTTCAAAGTCAACAACATATTCTCTTTTTTCTTCTTTTACGTGGCGTCTCCTTTCAGAATCATGGCTCTCCACAACTTCTTATCTTTAATATCTCAAAGAAACATTCGTCACTTTACTCTCTCTCTCTCTCTCTCTCTCTCTCTCTCTCTTCCACTCCCTGTTCTACCATCCATACCGTTAAGATGGCTGCTCAGTGCTTTCCGCTACATCTCTTGCCTTAAGTATGTCCTGTGAGTGTCAGATTTTCGAAGCCCTCATTCCTCATTATATCTTCCAGAAGTTGCATCTGTCTGATTTTTGTTTCCATTTTCCCTAACAATTCTTCGTTGTTATTCTCATCATCCTTCTGTAGAACCAAATCTCTATTGCCACTAACCTCCTCTTCATCCGTGAGGAATTTTTTCAGCATTCCATATAGGGGAACATGATATTACATAGACCTTTATTACCCTTCTCTTTGTTTCTAATGAAATTTTCCTGTTTGTTAATACTCTGCTTATGTTTTGCAAGGTAACTTTCTGTAAGCAGATGCTCCTTAAGATTTCTCTATCACATTTTCTGTCATCTATCATAAAAACTTCCAAGTCAGTTAAATTGCTTACTTTATACTAACGTCACCAATTGATAGTACGCATCTTGGGCTGCCGCTTTTGTTAACGACAATATAATTGTTTTCTTTCAATTAATGGTTAGTCTTTTCTTTCTGCTTTGTTTTACTCATTTGCCTAGGAGTTGAGCAATCATTTCTTCTGCATCTGCCATACACACAGTCTCAGTTGTATATGTGGGCGCTGGAGTCAAAGCCAAGAGGCGATGGTCTGTATCATTCTTCAACGCAAGCTCTGATATTCAGCACATTTACCCCTTAATATAGTACACCTTAAAACTATATTTCTAACGTGTATATATATATATATATATATATATATATATATATATATATATATATATATATATATATATTTATTTGGTTTAAACCTTATTTTTATTGATAATCATATTCGAGTAGAAGCTCTGATTTTGAATTAAAAGAGTATTTTTATCCAACTGCATCTACCGGATTGAATATTCGAGAAATCTTGTCAATATATATATATATATATATATATATATATATATATATATATATATATATATATATAAATAAAATAAATAAATATAAAATTATAAAGTTGTTATCATTATATATTTATTATATATACATAAAAATATATAATAATAAATAACTTTGCATATATACTTTTGAATATATATCATAAACTATATATTTCCAGTTTATTTAATATGTTTTTCTTATATACGTCCATTCGTTGATATATATATATATATATATATATATATATATATATATATATATATATATATAGTCGACTCTTCCGTCGAGTTCGACGTATGAGGGTCAAGCAGATCAGTTCCCAGGAAACCGACAGCCCGACAACGGCACATGAGATTTGATTATAGTGGTTAAGGTTTCGTGTAGGACCATCCACACTTTTGAAGTAAGTGCCACAAAGTCCCCAAACGGCCCTCAGCAGGTTTTGAATTCAGAGTTGTCCTTCTCCTAGACCAGTTGCCATCCACGGCTATAGAACCCACTGTCCTGGAGGGAGAAGAAAAGGATTAACACCTTTCCCAAGGGTATTAGCACTTACGTGCTAATACCCTTGGGAAAGGTGTGAATCCTATTAGCACGTAAATCTAGGTTTGTAACTATGTTTGATAGAATCAATCTGTAAAAAGAATGAGAAAGAAGAAGTATTTGAATTGATTATATGGGGTTCTTAATTTACAACATGTCCACCATCATTAGGCATACAAAGGGTAATACGATTCTCTAGTTTTGCAACAGATTTTTAGTAATAAATTCAATCACATCAACCTAAAAATCGAGCTTTCTTTGAATAAGCATTATTTTTCAGATGACAACATAAAAAGAAATCCAACCGAATCAAACAGCAATTCAAAAATAAAATAACATTTTGAAGTTTCAACAATCTGAAAAATATATTACGTATATCAAATTATAAATAAATTTTCCGAAGACAAGAAAAAACTAGACATTTTAAGCTTTCTTATCCTTTTTACAGATTGTTTGTATCATATACAGTTACAAAGCTACAAGTATTTTAAAATTGCACAAAGACTTTCAGAAAAATATATATATATATATATATATATATATATATATATATATATATAATTATTTATTTAAAAATATGATTCCAAATCGCTACATAAGAGGTCTCATGTTTTAAAACAAGAGCCGAAAACTTCAATATAATCCTTTAAATTAAATTGAGTTGAAAGTAAAATGGGCCCCGTTCCATCTTCAAGCGAAAATTTTGTTGGAATAACGTATATCTGAAATTTACTTGTTTCAAAATTGAAATCAAAATCCCCATGGTAACAGCTATGGTGAATTGTCTAAATTGGGTAGGCGACTGTAGGGTGTTTATAATAAGTAGCGGTATAGAGATACTTTCAAGGTGTCAAGTCGGGGAAAGGTGGGGGTGTCAAAAATGAAACGGAAGATGTATTGGCCATCGTCTAGTTTGCTTGTCTATGGAGATTTATTTATTTATCTTATTTTATTTTATTATGAAAGGAATTGTGCATATAAAAAAAAAAAAAATTTCGTA